CGCTATACTCAAACCTGTTCCAATTTATTAATCAGTAAATTTGTTTATATATTTATGCCAGGAAAATCCTTGAAGTAGTCGATGGGATTAATTATTTTTAATTAATAAAATAAACTAGAATTTTAGAAGGTTGTCTTAATTTACGTTAAAGGGAGCGTGTGAATATCCATTCTTTTGTTAATTTGTTAATAATAGAAACTATTCTTTCGATCGGATCTGTAAAGAGGTTGTTCCGCTTCTACTCCCCAATGAATAAACATAAACATAAATATGCATTTTTTTCTGTAATAAATGAAATTCCAACGTGCCATTCGTGCCGTATTATGAATAATTTTGTGTGTTTCAATGAAGAAATTCTTGCTTTTTTTTCCTCCTTTCTACAATAATGAAGCTGTTGATGTACGGAGCTAATTTTTTAATTTTTATTGTTAGAAAAAAAAAACTAGACAGGAGAAACGTCTTGTCAACTAAAATGCATTTCACTTTCAATGACTTTTTTTTTTTTATTATCCTTACAATAATACAACCGGCGAAGGTTGTTTTATTCTCGTTTCCTTTACATAGAAAATATATATTTTTATCCCAATTAAATTATAGAAATGTTTCCTTTCGGTTTAATTCTATTTTCCTGTAGGAAAAGGTTGCTGGTTTCTTACGCGCAACGAATTAATTTTACTTATTTTTTAGTTACGAAATATATTTAATTTTTCCTTTACAAATTTTTAAAATATAAAAATTTCGTCGCTTTAACAATGATTTAATTAAAAACTATTCGAACGAACGTACTCGAAATATTTTTACTCCATTTTCTCCCATTTACGTCCGTTTAAACGAATGTACAGTCGACCCCCCCATAACACTGTTGAATATTCCGTTTTATATGAATTCCATGTTATACGAGTCACTTATATTTTACAAATAAGTGTGCCGGGCTGTGAATGGCTCACATATTTGTAAAATCTAAGTGACTCGTATAACATGGAATTCGTATAAAACAGAATAATTAACAGTGTTATAAGGGGGTCGACTGTAATTTATTTTTCTAGATTAATAAACTTAAGGTAAAATCATCGTTAATCGTATTAAACTTGATAAATCGCTGGCGTTTTTAAACTTTTCGGACCCGACTATAAATCACCGGGTTAATCGAATGACCAGACAGAACAAATCTTAAGTGCCGAGTAGAAATCTTATCGCTTCCTCCATTTATATTGACAGCGCTTGGTGCCACATTTCCACTATTCCGGAGTCTTTCTGTAATGAATTAGACCGAGGAAAGTCTTGACAGTTATCTCTCTATTTTTACCCGGGATCGTATCCTACTTTTCCTGTAAAATAATATTTTAACACCGTTTTAAAGCCCTAGAATTCGAATAATTTAAAAATATAACAGGAAATTCTTATTGATATCCTTCCTAGAAGGCAACGATTAAAATTTATCCACGTCTTTCCTATCTGAAAGCTCTACCACTGGATTCGTTCGAACGCTATTTATGGAAAGGTCACTTCCCGATGTACTCTTCTAAAAGACCTATAAGTGTTATTGTTATCTCTGGCTTTTTTTCTCACAACCGAGAACACTGGTCGATAAGGACGGCCATTATCTTATACATTGGATTATCGGCCATTACCTTATCTACAGGTGGAGTCTACAAATAGAAGTTCACTTTGCCCGAGTTAAGAGGAAGAATTACGATAGTGGACACCAATAACGATTTCGCTTTCCACCGACGACCGCTATAACACTCCGTAATCGTTAACACGGGAGAATATTTTGGAAAATCCAGGTCCTTCGACTAACAATTACCTACTTTTGACCGCAAAAATGAATGTTTTCTTCGTATTTAATGCTTCTATCTCTGATATAACTAATAAAAAAATTAATTTTCCCACTTTTCGAAAGAGCCATTAAAATTTTGTATTTATTATAATTAAAAAAAAAAATTAAAAACTGGAGGCATTTTCGAGGTCGACGAACTAGATTCACGCGGATGGATTTTATTTTAATTATGAGCATTTATCCGCCATTATGTGTAGGAAAATGCCGACGACGAAGACTTTCTCGGAAATCTCATCCCCCGAAACAAAGACAGTTTGGCCCTAGTAGTAGTTCTGCTTAATTTCGCCAGGGTGCGCTGGCCCGTTAATTTTCTCCACTTAACTCTATGCCCTTCTGCCGAGATATAGAACAGGTGCGGCGGAAAGGTGAGTTTTTCTTTTATTCCTGGGGAAAAAAAAAATACAAGATCAGATTTGATTCTTGGACTTATCGGAATTAAACTAGTTTAGTCCGGGTAATTATTTAGATAAAGAATTTTAAAATTCCTGTAGCGAAGAAGGGACGTGAGCGTTTACGTAATTTTCCTTCTTCCACGCCTAATAATCAGAAAATCAATAAAATTTTATTTTTCTTCGGAAGGAAACGTTGAAGGGATAAGGGTTTTGGGCTAATAAACCGCGTGAGAAGAGAAAAAAAGCCCATGCTGGTAGCGGAGTCGCACGTAAAGCGGGTAACCATCGACAGCTAGACGTATAAAAAGTTGCTAGCTGGGAATTTTAAATTTACTTGTTTTGTGTTATAGTGGCCGAGCGAATACCAGGACTGCCATCTTCTCTGATGAATGAATGGCCCGGGGCGGGCGGGTTGTTCGATAAACGGATGCCACACCCCGACATGTCTGATGCTGATGGGCACAGGTGTGGTGGTTGTTTTCGGAATCTTAAAATGATCCGAAACTGTTGGCCCGGATACACGTCGAATCCCGATCTCTCTAGGCAATTTCGCTACAACAAAAATTAGTGTTGTGTACTCGTCTCTCCTCCTTTCGGCGGGGAGATTACCTGTAGGCATCGCCAAGGTAGGGTGAGGAGAAGATCGGCCTTTAAACGCTGCGGTGAATTATTGTCTTTTTGTAGACCTTCATCAGTCAAATAGTGTAAAGGCCAATTACCGTCCCGGTTTGCTTTCTTTGCTTTGCTCTTCAATTATACTATATCTGGGTCAACAAGAATGCCATTTGTTTGCCACTTTGTTTGACTGCGACTTTTTTTAACTCGTCACCATTAACTATTTAGTCTATTTTCGTCGATTGTCGCCCTTCTGCAGCCGGGTCGTACGGTATTTTCCGAAGATTGCCATTCTCGAGATGTCTCTTTCTTCTCTTCTCTCTCCCCCTTATCGTTTCATCTTACGGAATTTCTATCCGGACACTAAATCCATCTAATAAAAAGACTTTCCCACTAAGGGGTGATATTTTCAAGGTCGGTTCTGTGCTATACCAAGTGTTTCCCCTAGGCAAAAATCCTTGAGACTACTTTTATATATGACTACAGCAGCATCGCTTCTTTATATAGCGTGGACGATAGCTTCATTACGAAACAATACATCGGACTGACTGGCTGAATATCGAGGAGCCAATGCACGCCGCATTCATCGAGACGGCGATTAGCATTAATTAACTAATGTGCCTTATAAAAAAAATTTAATTGCAGCCGGTTTAAAATCGAATCGCCTTAACATAATGGAAAACGTCTCACCAATCATCATTGACATGATAAATTAATTAATTTCGATTCATAAGTAGATATAAAAGGGGGGGAATGAATGATCTGGAAAGAAATCACTCTTCGTTTTTTTCTTTATTTTTCTCTTATTCAACTTCTCTAACACGCAAAAATTCTTCTTTTTTACCAACAATGTAACATTGTTGTTTTTTTTTTGCTCGTTAAATGATTCGATATTTATTAAATTACCCGTCCCGATTATAATTAAATGTCAGTTTTATAGAAAAAGAAAATTAGTGAATAGACTTTTACAAGAAATATGTCAGTCGAACAACACAAAAAAATCAAATCTAATTTAAGTTTCGACAATTAATTAATAATGCGGTGAACAAAATTATAATTCAACGTCGGTACATATTAATACAGGTGCACAGTATTAATACGTTGCTTCTTTAGAAGCAACCAGCAGTTTCAATAATTGTTTTAAAAACGCAAAATGTGTAATGTCAGCTGCAACAATTAACAATGAAACGAAAAGAATCAATTATAACTATAAACAGAGCAACGAGTAGGAGTCAGTTACGACTGTTATTAAACACAGGAATTCCGTATCTGTTACAAAAATTAATAGAGCAATAATAAATCGAAAATTAAAATTCAATGCCAGTTATGGCAGTTAATAGAGCAATAAATAGAAAATATATTTTCAATGCCAATCGAGATTATTAATTTAACGCGACTTTTTCATTCTATGTATGTTACTGTCGATGATAACATTACGACAGGCGACTAAAAATATGGCGTGAGGCGAAAATAATAAAGGGAATTCGTGTTGCGACATTTGCGACAGAATAATTACGTCGGTAGACAGATTATCGGAATGACAAACGAATGCGATACGAGTTTGAGGATAAAATTTAAATATGGAATTCGGATACAGTCAAGGGCACGAAGGAGGAAAATGCCACTTCCTTTACCACTCTATAATGAGAGAATGCTGCAATATATTAATAATTAATGTTAATGATTCACGCACGGTAAACGTTTTTCACTTTCCACTTCCGCATCGGATTGTTCTTTTGTGAAGAACTATTAATAAAGAAGAGTTAAACAATAATTTGTCGATGGTTTAATTGCTGGAGAGATTCTAATATTAAAAATCGAAGTGGGGTCGAGTGAATTTCCTGGTGTACTTTTTCACTTTCGCTTTCCTCTCGTATCGTAAATATTAATAGTTTTAACTGGCGGGTGTGGAATTTTTAATGGCATTCTTCCAATTGCATCACTGTCGAGTTTGTCGAGTTTCTCTACTTGCATCATTGTCGAAAATGACATTAATGGGGAAAAACCTGATTAATTTCAGTTATATAATATTGTCGGTGAGGTAATTATAATAAAATTTCGCTACAGGATATACAATTCTCGCTTGCTTTCGGAGTAACGTCGATGCTATTATAGACGAACGGTATTAAATTATTGTAATTTTTATCTTTCAGCGCATTAATCGAAGAAGAATGAAGGATAAAACCAGGAGGAGTCGAGAATGGACATTTTTAATATTATTTACTGCTCTTTGTTCCGTTTACGGACAGTGTCCTTGGTCCAGAGAGCTGGTGGATCTTCACACGGATTGTATTTGCACTTATAACAATGTGCAGAGGTTATCCGTTCAGTGTAGCCCGGTGAATTTTAACAAATTACTGAAGGCATTAAAGGATTCCGTAAAAGAAATTCCGATCGATCTTCTGTACATCAACAACAGCACAATAGACGTTCTAGAAGACGACACCTTCAAAAATTTGGATATAAAGAGCATTCAGTTATCACGCTCGGGGTTAAAGAACATTTCGACTTCGGCATTTTCGGGACTAGAAACGAAGCTAACGAATCTTAATTTGCACGGTAATCTTCTTAAGGAAGTTCCTACCCAGGCTCTGAGAAGATTAAGATTCTTGAGGGAGATCGATCTAAGTCACAATCTGATCCAGAAGGTATCGGACGGTGCTTTTATGGGCATTCCTATAACCACTCTCAAACTGGCAGACAATACTTTAAACATATCAAACGGCGCCTTTCGTGGGTTGGAGTCGACCTTACGTAACCTCAATTTGAAAGGTACCGGAATCGGCACGGTTCCGGTGGCAGTTAGAAGTCTTCACGTTCTATCATTCCTCGATTTGGCTCAAAATAAAATATCGGAAATAGCCGACGGGACGTTCGAAAACATGCACACGCTCACAGCCTTGAATCTGGAGAGGAACAGGCTAATCAATATCAACGGATCGTCTTTCAGAGGGGTCAACGATTCTCTTAGTTCTCTATCGCTGCTCAACAACTTATTGTTGGACTTTCCACTGGACGTTATAAATACCCTCACGGAACTCAGGGTAAGCTTTAAAATACATTTAATTAATAACACAAAAGTTTACCTACGCCATCGTATTAACTAAGGCTGTATTTAGGTTCTTGATTTGGGATTTAATGGCATCCGTTTCATCCCCAAAACGGCATTTAGTCGCAATTCGATGTTGACTCTTCTGGCCCTAGATGGAAATCCTCTACCGACCTTGCCTCTAGAAGCCTTTCAGCATTTAAATTCGACGTTGAGGGGTCTCAGCATAGGAGGTAAGTCTTCTCCACTCGATAAATATTTCACGGATGGAAAAAATGCCCATTAAAATTCTGATGCATGCATAACTATAATAATAAATGTAACAGTTTTGTTTTGCATACGTATAAAAGCCATAAAACCTTTTGGAAACATTTTACGAGCGGTAGCATTTTAACGATAATCGCCCAACCAGACAAACAAGTTAAGCGAAAGTCGTAGTTATACAAATTGTGATTTAGTAATTAATAGTTGGCCGGAATATAACCATATTTTGGTCATAGATATCAATTAAATTTTGAAATTTATGGGTGTAACGCGTAATCTGATATCACCTTAAGTGTCGATTACTTTACGCGTATTACTAACCACAAAACAGGATTTTATAACACGTTTTTATTTTATAATTTCAGGGTCGTATCTGGAATGCGATTGCAGATTAAAATGGCTGTCCGAATGGATCATTACCAATAACCTTCAGGTTACGAGTCGAGAGAGAAATCCTCAATTCTGTGGAAAACCGGAACATTTACGTTCGTACACTTTCTCGCAGATTAACCCACGCGACTTAGTTTGCGACAAAACCGTTCCGACGACGACGGAAACGACGGTTCAGTCTCGTACGACCAAGACCCCCAAGAGACTAGACGACTTTCGCACCGTTCAGAAACTTCCCGCCGACGAGAAGAGAGAAGAAGGCTCCGTTCTTAAAGTAACCCCGGGAGTGTCCCCCGATTCCACCTATCCCACGTTATCGAGAAGTGACAGCTCGCGAACACGCCTAGAAGACGAAGAGGTGCAAGTGGTAGACATCTACAGGAGTGGTTCCAGAATCGCGGTCGAATGGGAAAGCATTTCCGACAATCTTCTAGGATTCAAAGTCATCTACAGAAAATTCGGAGAAGACGAATTTCGAGCCGGTCCGGCTCTTCCGAAGACTCAGAAGCGATTCGAACTGGAGAACGTTCCCTCCTACGATTGTATTGTGGTTTGTGTCGTTACGCTCGAGGACGGTGTGACGCTGACTGCCGACAACGTCCCTCATCGCCAGTGCAGAGAACTGAAGAGAGAAGCCAGCGGCAAACCCATCGAAGTGGATAAAATCGTCATAGGTGCATCCGCGGCCATCTGCTCGCTGATCATCGTAGTGGTGCTGATTCTGGTTTGTTGCTGTCGCAGGAAAAAGCACCACGAAAAAAGTGGCGTGCCTCCTCCCGCTCCGGCAATAAAGTCGGATCACGAATGGGAAACCTCGTCCATGTACAGCGGTAGAAGCATTCCCAGAGCCCACATGTACCACTTAGAGCCGACCACCAACGGCTCGGTCAACCACAGCTTCGTAGTAGACGATAATCGTTCGCATCTTTCTCACTACTCCCAAATGCCCAATGGGTATAGCAAGGGTCGACCCAATGCCGACGGTCAATCGCACCGCTCCTACACCTCTAACAAGTACAACGGCAATCATTTTCTCGGGAATCCGGAACTCAGGAAATCTCAGCAATCATTATCGCAGATATCCGGGCATCATTCTTTTATCGGCAGTCATCTGTCGATGCCCCACCAGAAGAAGAAAGATAGATTGACATCTGCGGGTTCTCTGCACTCCTTGACCGAGTATTCATCCGACTGGAATGAAAGATCCAACTGGAAAGATCAAGAAGTCGATATTTATGTGGGTCAAAACAGAGCCATACCCACACACGCCAAGTATCGCAAGAGTTACGGAGGGAGGTGAACCACTCCGAGGACTCGTACGTCGGAAAAAGCCGAAAACCAAGACCGACGAGGGCCAAGCAAACCAAAAGAAATGTACAACCGAGTCGTGTAATACCATTTTAATCAAGTTTTCTCACTTATCTTGGTTTGTGCCATAACAACGGAGTATCGCCTCGGTAACGACAAACATTAATCATCGTTAACGTTATCATTCATCATATTCATTTATTACACCAATTTTAATGGATATTGTACGAAGCGTACTGTACGTCGCCGGACGCAGGTAGTCCTTACTCGAGTATTCCATAACTACACGAGATCGCGATGAAAACCCTCTTTTTGTAAATTTAAATTAATATTTTTTATATTAATGATTAAAAAAATATCGCTTTAAGAATTTGCTAACACCTTTTTAATCAGATCGTCATCAGTAATTTTGTACTACCTCTTTTTTAAATAAAAGGTATTTTGTGTATTCTTAAAAAACTTTTCCACAGTTTCCAAAATCGTACACTAACTGATGGGATAATTTATTCAAAATTAAGGGAGGATTAACGTGTGAACGACACTAGAAATAACCTCCACCCAGAACGTCTGAATGATTTCCACAAATATTCCGACCTGGCGTATTCAAATGAGGTTGTTGGCGACGATCCTTTTCTTATGAAAATAACGCCATTGAAGCGCGAAAAATCCCATTGCGCTATAAGGAAATTTAGATTTTTTGTGGCGCCTCAATACCCCGATCGACCCGGGCACACGCGAGACAAAACAATATTAAATTGGCCGGTAACGAATCTCGCCCCTTTACGGTAAAATAAGGTAGAAACGGCGTAAAGTTCATTTATCCGCAGCCATTTTTTATTTGGTCTTTTTCTTTTCTAATTATAAGAATGGTAATGCCTTAACAACCGACTCTCTTCTTATCTCCTCCCTTCATCGATTGTCATGGCTTTTGTCACGATTCAGCTCGGGGCTTTCCGAAACCATTTTTGCTCTTGTGATTTATATCCTGCTTGATTTGGACAGCAAATAACTACCTTTCGGCCATTAGCGAAAGGCTGCCGAGTTATTTGACTCGCTGCGAGTTTTTACCGATTCTTAATCAAGAATTTCGATTTTTCAGATAGAACCCAATCGCGTGCCAAAGGATTCGACCCGTAAAACCGGGCAGGAAGAATAATAAACAAATACAAATAATTGATTGGCGGCTTCGCCACTTTTTTGCGCCTCTATTACCCGAAATATGAGACTTTTATCCTTAATATCGCGGCAAAATTAATTAAAACGTCGGCAAAAATTCTCCGTAAATTTAAAGAATGCGCGTTATACGTTACCATCCAAAAGTATTTTTAACTGTTGGGGAAGGTGCGTCGATACTGCCATCTAGTGTTGAGAAGAGTAATTATTATTCCCGATGTTTCGAAGACTTCCGAACTAAATCAGTTTGTCGGTCTGTCCGTTAGAATATAACATTTGAAAAATTCTAATTATTTTCTTAATAATATTCCTGTATGAGAGTAGACAATTAAAACTATTAAGTATATTTTATTATCACTTAGAAATGGCGTAAACTTTATTGTAAACTACGCTTTAAAACAGAACATTAAGCGATAGGACAAATAATTATTCGTCTGTACGATATATTGTGTTATATTATTATTCTACGGGATAAGTTTTATTTGTCTTCCAATTGTTTTTGAGTTTTTGATATACGATTATTATGAAAAATAAACTAGTATTCTGCGTTGACTTTTTCGTACGATGAAATCCATTAAATGATACAATTATTTTTCCGTAAAATAACAATGAGAGCGATAACGAATACCGTACTAATAACCGTGACGTCATAGGAGAAGACGAGAAAAAATACTAAAGGTCACACCGATAAAAATTCTATATCACAACTTTGCCTACCAATCACGATACTTCTATTATTCCACAGCAGGGAAATGTTTTCTTACGTGAAGCACCGTATCGCCATCTGTTGGTTAATAAGCGCAATAATTTTGAAATGCTTTTTACTCCCGCTTCCGATCCACTGAGCTATAATATTGCGTGTAGTTTTCTCTTAAAAAGCAGACTTAAAATTTCGCAACACGTCATTTGAGAAGAGCGACGCGCGGCGGCAATCGATCTTACAATTTTTACACACATCTGGCGAATTATAGTACGCATTTATTTGCCGTATATAAGTGGGCCGAGCGGAACATTCGGTTTAAGCAGAAACTTAAAAAGTTTACTTTTCCTTCTGGGGCCCCCGGCAGTTCTATTTGACCTAAGTTCTACGGCCCACCAGAGGCCGAAAGGTTCCGTTCCCCGAACACCGGGAGTTCGGTCGTGGGTTCGCGCTTGGCTAGGACGTGGAGTTTTCTGGGTTTTCTCCACGTCCGTAACGCCCGAATGGGGGCCAGTTACTCTTAAAAATACCTCCCGTAAGGCATTCCTCCTAGGCAGAAGTGGTGCGTCGCCGTCAGTTTCGTAACTACCATTCCCGCGCTTTGTGCAAGAATTTTGCATTTCGGCTCCTTAATTAATTAGGTTTGGGAAAATAATAAAACAAATACACGCATTTGCACTCCCTTTCAAGTAGACTTTGCGCGGGTGCACCCGTTACACCTGCCTAGTTACGGCACTGGTGCCGTAACTTAACTAAACAAAACTAAACCTAAGTTCTATAGCGGGGGTGGGCAAGCGAGAGTTCAGTGGGAGCCGAAATGTAGGTTTTGCAAAATGCATGGGAGCCGCAGTTCTGTACTTTTTTATTCTGTGCCACAGTTCTGTACCGCGATTTTATTATATAATATAAATATAATATAAAACAAATATTGAATTTTTTTAATAAACATATTTTCACAAAGTTGTGGAAATAAAATTGTAAAAATAATAATAGTGAGCAGAAATTAACACTTTCGGCAAGAGCCGCATTTGCTGGTGTCTGTTCTATAGAAATCTTAGCCGCTCCTGCGGTAGGTTTGTGAATTTTATAATTATTCTGAATCATGTTACAGAGAATACAGGATTGGATCGATTGGGTACAGCAACGCAACACATGGGTAATGTATCGAGGAGAATGCCTCCTAGGAGAACGATTTCGTAGAAAATTGGCACCTATTTAGTTTTTAGACACGTGAAGAAAATCCGGAAATTTCACGTAACCAACTGTTAATGGCGCTCGAAACATTTAACTTTTAATCGTTTTGTTAGTGTCTCACTCGGTTTAAATCACGGGCATTTCTTTCTTCAATTTCGAGTCACCAGTCTGTAAGCAATCGTACGAAATCCGGAAACCGAGTAAGAGCGGACTTACCAGACTTGAAATATTTTTCAGCGAACACAATTACATTAACCTAAAAAAAAGTTCTTTGAATGCCGGAACCTGTGACTTGCCCAATGAATTGGGGAAATCGTGCTTTTGCAACCTAACACAAGACAGTACAGAAATTACGCCTTATGTGTTTCGGCATCCGTGCAACGCCTTCCATCGGGAAATAAATTATTTTTTCGTTAAAGAGTTTCGAAGTACGCTGAAAGGCTCGATCTTCTATTTCCTTTTGCTTCGTTATTTACTTTTCTGCTTGCATATTTTCTAAACGGAAATTGATGACGTAAACCTTGAAGAAATTGCGGGCTGGCAAACTAGAGAAGACGACGGTGTCAAAACTTTAAATCGAATATAGGTTTTCACTTATCGGTACTTTCTTTAAAACTCTTTCCGCCCTGTGGACACTAAGAGGGTCTCATTTAGCGATTCCACTACGGGATGGTGAGGGACGGGGACCGACATATCCGGTCGGACCACCTCCCGAAAAATTCTTGGGGATTTTTCGACCCGTCCGGATTCGATTCCAGGTTCCCCAAAGCGGCAAGTCGCCGCGGTCTCAAACCTTTCAAATCTGGCACGCGGACTCAAACCTTTTTGAGTCCGCGTGCCAGATAATGGTATACACCCCTGCACTAAGCGCTGACGGACCTTTTGTTCGTCTTCGCAGTTAGTTTTGGTTTTCTTTTGAATCGTTCTAATCTCTTTTATAAACGCTTTGAAAAGCTAAGAAAATCAAGAATTACTTTTATAAGACTTAAAATTGCTTTAAATAACTCTTGTATGTTTGTTATGGTATATTTGCATTTTATTTAGACACTTGAAAAGGGCTTATGACCACAGCGTTTTAAATAAATAAATAAATTAATAATAATAAACTCCAAGGACATACAAATGAAGTTTGGCCTAGAGAAATGCAAAACACTTCACATAGAAAAAGGAATCCCGAAGAAAGAAGATTTTGCGCTTGGAAATAAAGACGTTATTGAATCCATGGAAGAGGACGAGTTCTACAAGTATTTAGTATTCTAACAGGACAAAATAACAGAAAATACACAAATAAAAAAAACAGTAAATAAATAAAGTAGCAAACAGCATCAAACGTTCAGAAAAGACCGTTCAGCATTGTTCTTCAAAGCTTATCCCGCAAGACCGCAGACGAATTATTAATGCAGTTTCTAATACCGCATCGTCCACGCGTAAAATTTGGGACGATTTGGGTATTTAAGTACATCACGAAACCGTTCGAAGGGTTTTACACGACAACAACAACATCGTTTGGTCTCGAATGAGAAGTGCCCCGCTCTTAAGCCCGAGCACAAAGCTGCCCAACTCAATTTTGCTAGGAAAAATATGGCCATTCAATCGAATAATGTAAGTTTTTTGTTTCGTTTAGACTAGGGGTCCCCAAACTTTTTATCCCGTCGACCCGTTTATAAAATATTTGTTTTCTTATCGATCCTCAGATTAAGTATCTAACAAAAACATTAAATCATTTTTGCATTTCTAACGTTAAGAGATAAGGAGACCCGCGTAACAACCCAACAAAAGAAGTTACAGTTCACATATCTTATAAAATCCATTTAATAACATTAACAGAAAAAATTTTCCACTGATTTATAATCTTAAAAAATAATAGCAAAATTATAGATAGATGGAAATTTGCATATAGTTCTTAAACCGTACGTGCCATAATACGTAAAATACACAATTATCTTTGAAAACATAAGTTATATTGGATGAAAAACCTCTTACTGTCATTTTGCGACTACTACCGAATGCCTTAAAAATACGTTAACATACATTTTTATTAAAATAGTTGATATTAGTGGGATGGAAGTGTCCAAAGAGAAGCGGCGAGATTACTGATAATCTGTTGAAAATTGGTAAGTTTTAGTCGCAAATCACCACGGATTTCCAAGTTTTATCTGTTCCTCCGTTTTGTCAAAATTGCAGTCGCGTGGCTAAAACCAGCTTCAATCACGTATGAAGTTGGGAATGCGAGTAAGAAAGGTTCGGCTTCCGCTCCGAGCTCGGTATATTTAGTGGCAATATCGTTGTTGCTCCAAAATTCACCGAGATTTTTATTTTTAAACAACGCTTCAGCTTCGAGA